CACTGTATCGACGTTATCCGAACGCAACTTTGAACTATGAATGAACTGTAAATGCTGTCTCCAATCTAGAAAATACTATCGCAACACGGTTGGAAATAATAAATTTAACAGCAGAATACGTCCTAGCAATAAAATAAACTGACTTCTAAAGACTGAATGTTTTTTTGCGAACTTCGTATACGGGACCCGGTTTATATATAAACCGACGTTAGCTTCACGTTCATGTCCTACCATGATGGCAACAGCCGAAAACATGTTGCTTGTTTTTGAGCGGAGCGGATCGCCAGCCAGCCTACCGGCTTGTTTTATAAACTGGCTTGGCAATTCCCACCACCAATTAGACCATGTCACAGCATTTCAGCTACTTTTAACAACTAATAGAAGCTAATTGACATAAGAAATTCTAACCCAGATGGTGATCATAAAATCGAAGAAAAATTGAAACATTTGATTTGTGTGATGCAAACGCAATGTATCATGCAATATCCTGTCAAACTAAATTGAACAGCGTATTTTTGGTAAGTATATTCTTGTGTTATGAACAAACAAATATATTTTCCACCAGCTTGTATTGTTATAATTTGTGTAATGACATTTACGTGTTATCTTATAATGTTCTTCAACGTATGCAATGGATTGTTTTTTCAGTACCATCTGACAAAATTTCAGAATTATCATTATGTAATTTAAACGCCCATGTATTTCAATATGTGGTGTCAATATTGGGAAATAAGGCACGTCTTAGGCTTGACTAAATATTTAGGCTGGCCTCAATAATTCACAGCCCCAATTTTACTATGTATTAATCATTTTCTCGTTCCAGTGTCAATATAGGTCTCGCCGAGTTTCCTACAACAATTCAAAATAAACCATATCCAAAATCAAATTCAACAGATTGTACACTGATGTAACAAATCTGCATCCCAAAGAAAAACAGGGCGCTTTTGACCAGCCTAAATATTGACGTTTTAAATGTATGAAAGTTGGGAAAGAGAATCAAATTTTAATATTTTTTTTCAAACAAACAACAAATTTGGGCAGCTCTCAGGCACGTTAAACGTATAGGTAATTGCGATAGTAGCCGTTTCAGCACTCATGGTCAGCATCTTGAAAACATCAATCAGCCTTCGATTCGGCCGTTTGACATTTATAAAATGTCAACACAAATTGGGGTTATAGGTACTGACTACCAATTTTAAAGTCATGGCTCATTTTTTAAATTTTTTAATTTTTTTTTATTTTTCTCTTGCATCTTCCACAAAGATTAATACACAAGTAATGGAAATAAAAAAAAATATAATAATAAAATATGTTGAATTTGCCCAATAATATAGTAGTGCAATTCAATAAGTTACAATCTAATTGATCAATTGCAAATGCCAGTGCCTGTACTGTTACACTAGAAAATTATTCCATTCCAAAAAATTCCTGTTGTGCCCTTTCTGGTTGAGAGTAGTATTTCATACTTTTTGTTGTATCTCACCTCTGCTATAGCTATGTTACAATTTGGTATAACTTTTTTTAGCTTGCTGTTGTAAATGCATTTTTAAAGATAAGTATAATGTGGTTGAGTAGAATGGACAAGCGCTTATCTCCCAAAACAATTTGTTTGCTTGTTAAGTTATTTTGAATTCTTAAGGCCTTACCCCAAATATTGTACATAGATCTCCATAAAACCTGTACTGCTTCACACCCAACAAAAAGATGAATTAATGTTTCGGGAACATTGTGACAGAAAGAGCATACATCATTTTTTAATAGTTGAGAAAGAACTTTAGTAAGAACATTCAATTTCAGTATGAACTTAATGTTCAGAAATACCGGACGCTAACTAAGTGTACACGAACCGAAACTGTGTTATTACAAATATTGATATGACGATTAGTAATCTGCATATTAAACAATCTGTGGAGATTACTAATCTGTGTGAAAATAACTGCGGCGTTTACTTTTCTGCATATAACAAAAAAAAGTGTGTTGTACATTCCTATAACACGTATTTACGTTAAAATTATTCTAGCTAAACTACATTATGTCTGTCTTATCAATGATACGCGTTATATATATGCATGTTTAACTATTCCATTGTCAGTTAGAATATTAATAATAATTAATACAAACACAATGAATGTTAAGCAACTTATTTGTTTGGAACAACCTTTTAACATTTTTCCCATTCAAATGCCATACATTTCGTACAGCAAGCCACTTTTGATTTATCCAAATTAACCCAAACTTTACATTTGATGCCAACACAAAGTCAAGCAAAGCACTAATGCCACTGAATACAATAATACCAAATCAGACATTTATTGTATTATCGCATTTATGATTGTATATTGTAGATAGTTGAATGAATTACAATTAGTTGTGTATATTACATACAATACGCTCGTTTGATGGGAGATGCTAGTTGTGGGTGATTATCAGTACAACCTACTTCTGTTTTTCAAGACCAGGAGAAAGCATAAAATCAGTTCCCTTCCTTGGCTGGGCAATTACATTATAGGGACAACAACGCACAATTAGACCCTCTATACTTGGATTTAAATCAGGCTTCTCTTTGCCAGGAGCCACTTTGAATGTGTAATGTTGGAATAAGCAGATGAAGACAAGGAACATCTCCGATTTAGCCAATACTTCTCCCATACACACTCTACGTCCAGCGGAGAAAGGAAGAAAACTCTCTGGTTTGGGTAATGCTTTGCCATCTGTATCCAAGAAACGTTCTAAAACAAATTTAAAAACATTGTTTTCTTAAAACTGTTTCTCTGCATATTAAGTCACATGACAGGATACTCAGCTTACAGCATTTGACTATTTTTTTTTACATTTCATATGAAACATTGTTTAGAATACAAAGAGGTAACAATCCTACCTGGAAAGAATTTCTCAGGATTTTCCCAATATTTCTCATTCATGTGTACATTCCACAAATTCAGGATGACCATTGTGTCTTTTGGGAGGTTGTATCCACCTGTAACATATGTATGTTTCTTTGCATGTACATTTCACTAATTAGTGGTTGTCTAAGCTGGTGAACAGATTTATAAATTGTAACTATGTAGGTCCATTTGAACTTTAACTACATTGCTTGTGATGTTCGAGATGCGACTTGTGTAGCTAGTCGCAATACATCATTTTAAACTGTGTGTTTAGACACAGTGAATGTGGCGTGTCTGCTTGCTGTGATTGTAAGCTCGAATCTTTTGATTGTTTTGTAATATATGTTCTTGTTTGTATGTAAATTTTATCATCCACCTGTCATTAGAAGACGGTACGAAGCATGAACATGTAGTTATGTATTTTGCCTGTATTGAGCTTTTTGTATTATTCTGCGCGTGTGAGTATTAAGTGTATAGGGTATATTCCTTATGTCTTTTTTTATCAGTGCACGATTTGTGGTTCTGTGATATACATTATGAACTATTGACAGTGCAGATACATTGTATATGGGAAAGTCTTTGTCATATATGTAAAATATCAAAGACATGAGAATGCTCCAGTTAAATATTTATCTGAGTTTGGAGCAAAGTGACAACTCCACTGAGTAGACCGGCAGATTTAAGTGATGTTGAAATCTATATCACTGAACTTTCACTAACAACTTCTATTCCGATCATAACGTATCAGCAGTTTTGTTTATGTCGGATTAAACTATTGAATTGTGACTTGACATAACGTAAATGCACATGAACTGACAAACATGAATGAGTTATCAACAAAACTCCAAATATTCAAACATGCTAGAAAAAAACATTAACATTGAAACATGTTCAAAATCTACAAACTCATTGATCGGAAAATCCACACGTGACCAGTATCTGAAGTCCCTAATTCAAAAAAGATTGATAGTTTGTTGGTATACCTACCCACAGACGTATCACAACATGTTTTATGAGGTGCAGCAAATGGCGCAACTGTGCGAATTCTCATGACCTCATGGATTACAGCATCACAGTATGGTAATTTACCCTTGTCAGATAATAATGGCAGACGATCTAGTCCGATGACGTCATCAATCTCATTCTGTACTTTAGTTTGCACATCCGGGTAGCATGCCAGAAACGCAATGCACCAATCAAAGGTGTTTGCAATTGTGTCTATTCCAGCTACAGATAAATATTTACAGTTTATATTGAGTATGTTACTAATTGATAATATTTACTTGTTCAAGAAATACTGAAACATTATTATTTATTATTCCGAATTAAGTAAACTGACTCACCTCCAAAAATATTACTAATTATTTGCCGAAGATTGACATCAGTAAATTTAGCTGCCTGATCTTCGCCTGCTATTTTGGCTTCGTTTTGGATTTTTATTAGATTATCGATAATGTTGTGTACTTCTAGATTATCTGTGATGAAAAAAAATCATATAATCAAGTAAAACAAATATAGACCTGAACGCATACGATGAAAGTCAGATATGTCCCAGCGTAGAGTGAGGACAGTCACCTTGCTCACATATATTGTTCCCATCATATAGTGACGAATCAAGGAAGAAGCAGTTTTCGTTGCTGTAAATTGAGGTCTATATAGGCAATTTAATAAACTTTAAATCCACACATGTTTAGGTATAGAGAATGAGTTGGGAAATGTATATGCACAAATGAATGTTTTTAAATGTGTTGAAAAGTGTGGTTTATGTCTTATACCTTTATTAGATTTGTTTTTATGGGCAGTAATCTTTTTCTGAATTAAACCGAGCCATGTTGCCACCAATATCTTAGCTGCACGAATACCGCTTGTTGGTATATATTGGAATATACGGTTATAATCTGCAACTAGTCCATTACCGAATACCTCGTTTGTGGAGTCAAGCATCTTTAGAATTTCTTTCAATTCGGGGTCGTTCACCTCATACCTGTGAAAATGTGATATTCAGAAGTTGAGTGTGTGTTGTTTATGTGATGTAGTCACATGGTTAAAATCATCATATTAAAATAATACTATTACCTAAGTATTTTATTACTCGACTTGTACAATATTTATCATTTCGAATTACTTTTGCTTACTTTTCACCAAAACACATTGTCGCAGTAATATTCGCTATCATAAAACCCAGCAATGGTTTAGGATAAAATGGTTTCTCGTCCATGTCAGCTATAACTTTTTGTAATCTCGGAAAAGCTTCATATCTCACGAGATCTTCAAGTTTGTCTCCACTGACATAGTTTCTGTGGAATGTAAGTTAACCAAGATGATAGATATCAAGACATTATTTAAATGACATTGTTAAGTACGACACCTATATTTGTACCACGAATAAGCTCAAACAAATGAATGTTCACATAAATAAAAGACGAGGGCTTTTGGTTAAATCAGAATGTTTCACATATCTGCACCAAATATTTCGAGTCTGACTCGCTTTTTTGAGATCTGACAGAAACACTGCCCATCTCGAACATGATGTCAATTATTGGCTTGTAGGCTATATATATATATATATATATATATATATATATATATATATGATGGTTTGGATTATATTATGAATATGATAAAGTTTTCATTATGCAGATTTCGCATATAACTGCTACGATTTTAATATGCAAATTCTATGAGAACAAATTCAAAAAGGTCAAAAGTCACCACACGTCTATTGTATTAACGAAATTTTGCCAACATATTTCATTTGAAAATAGGGGCTGGAACCCCGTTTTCCATCATGAATTTGAGAATTTTTTCCAAATATATGTTTTGGGGTGATTGACCGTCAGAATATTCCGATATATATAGTTCTCCGTGCGATAACATTTATTGGCCTTATTGTCACGGAAATTTATTCTTCAACATTGAATTGTCATTATATTATTTTTCAAATAAACCGTTATAACAGGTCGTAAAATGGTTGTTTTAAACAAATACATATAACACTCTTATGCTTGGAAATGTACTGGATATTGACAGATTGTTCATAGCAGACTACAAGATAGAGATATTTGCTGCAGATGTAACCTCTCGTCCGCGCCATTTTAGGCAAATCAATGAAAACGTCGCGAAATAAGCAAATCGTCAGATAATCAGAAAAATGGCACATTAAATTAGTTTTTGCATGAAAAATTGAAAATTGAGAAAATATTAAGCTCGAATCAAAGCGAGCTAAGCAGGGGGCACAGGATAATGTCTTACCTAAAAGCTTGGTGTCCAATTTTGCGACGAAATATCCACTTAGGAGTAAAGTCACCGAACAGAATATCCTCTCCATTTTCGCTAAACATGTCACCTTTTGAAAAAAATTATAAGTAGTCAAAATTTTACTATGAATACTCTGGGGCTACTATGTGTAATTATTCACATTTACATTGCCTTTCTCTTGTAAACATATTTTCGGGAATGTAGTTTCGGGTTTTGATTTGAGGTGATTTGGTTTCAGCACAGGAGTGTCGGAATTACGAAATTGCAATCACACGATTGTCTCTCGAGAAAATCCAGGATCGTAGACGCTGGTAGATACCAATCATATATTGGTATATAGACAATAGTATGAGGTTATTACGAGGATATCGAAGATTATGCACGAAAACAGTTCTGCTTGAGTATCGAACGACGCGCAACGACCGCCTACTGTCCGAGTGCATACTTTACAGTGCCATCATAAAAAACTGTGTGTGGTCCGGTCAAACCCAGAAGGCTGCCAAGGTTATTTTTATTATAAGAGGACGCTTACACGTGTAATCGTTCCATATTTGGAATTTTCATTGCCTGATACAGATGCAAATTCCCAGTAAAATATCGTAAAATTACGGCACGCTGTTACTTACAGTGACAGGTGTATAATAATGATATATATTTTCGATGACGAAAATAATAGAAACTAAACATGGCCGATGCTTTAACTGGCTTCGAAT